TGGGCCTGACATTTTCCCAAGGCCGCCTACCCTTCGTATTGGGCTCCAGTGGCTCACGTGAGAGTCGACGGGGTGGTCCCTGATGCACAAATCTGTGCCCCACGTGCTCCCCCGGGGCCGAACTGGAAACCCACAGGCAGAGTCCAGCGAGCCATATGAATATCTGTTTATTGCAACTGAAACAGGGAATACAGGGCTGAGCACCTCAGCACTTCAGCCATCCCAAAGCCGTATTCTGCCATAACCTGGAAGGGCAGAAGGTCTTCTACCCCAACTGACATCACATATAATTTACACATCCAGGAATCTCTAATTGGTGCCAAGCAGGTAACATCGTGGACGCATCATCTGACTCTTAACTTCTCTACTGGTCTCTCCTGATACTGGTCGTGTACGTCAGTGACTGCGTTGGCTTATCTGGTCTTTGGAACTATGGGAAGCATTAGAGAACACGGGGAAGCTCTCTGGCCTCAGCGAGGCTAGCCTCCCTCCTCCTCACAACCTTTCTGTAAGGGAAGATCTTGTCTCACTAACCTGTTAGTGTTCTTTGAGGGGGTGAACAAACATGTGGACAAGGGGGATCCAATAGATATTATTTACCTTGACTTCCAGAAAGCTTTTGATAAAGTTCCTCATCAAAGGCTCCTAAGTAAGCTCAAAAATCATGGGATAGAAGGACAAGTCCTTTTATGGATCAAAAACTGGCTAGTTCATAGAAAACAGAGAGTGAGTATAAATGGGCAATTTTCTCAGTGGAGGGTGGTAAGCAGTGGGGTACCGCAGGGATCAGTACTTGGTCCACTGCTTTTTAACTTGTTCATTAATGATTTGGAGATGGGAGTAAGCAGTGAAGTGGCTAAATTTGCGGATGATACAAAGTTGTTCAGGGTGGTGAAAACCAGTGAGGATTGTGAGGCACTCCAAGGGGATCTGTCAAGGATGGGCGAGTGGGCGTCAACATGGCAAATGGGGTTCAATGTGGCCAAGTGCAAGGTGATGCACATTGGAGCCAAAAATCCTAAATATAAATACACATTGATGGGGTCTGAACTGGCAGAAACTGAGCAAGAGAGAGATCTTGGAGTTGTAGTGGATAACTCACTGAAAATGTCGAGACAGTGTGTGACTGCAATAAAGAAGGCCAATGCTATGCTGGGGATTATTAGGAAGGGTATTGAAAACAGATCAGCCAATATAATAATGCCCCTATATAAATCAATGGTGAGACCTCATTTGGAATACTGTGTGCAGTTCTGGGCACCACACCTTAAAAAGGATATTATAGCTTTGGAAAAAGTGCAGAAAAGGGCAACTCGAATGATAAAAGGGTTGGAACACTTTCCCTATGAGGAAAGGTTAAAGCGCTTAGGGCTCTTTAGCTTGGAGAAAAGACGACTGAGGGGTGACATGATCGAGGTTTATAAGATTATGCATGGGAAAGAGCAGGTAAAGAAAGAGGTACTTTTCTCCCTTTCTCACAATACAAGAACTCGTGGGCACTCCATGAAACTGCAGAGCGGTCGGGTTAGAACGGATAAAAGGAAGTACTTCTTCACCCAAAGAGTGATTAACACATGGAATTCACTGCCACAGGAAGTGGTGGGTGCTACAAGCATGGACGGCTTCAAAAGGGAATTAGATAAGCATATGGAGCAGACCTCCTGATGGCACCTGGTATTTCTGGCCACTGTGTGACACAGAGTGTTGGACTGGATGGGCCTTTGGCCTGATCCAACATTGGCGTCTCTTATGTTCTTATGTTCCCCCCCCCCCGTGAGGATCAGAACAAAGCAGGGATGCCCCCCACTGCCCGTCCTGTTTGCCCTGAAGACCGAGCCCCCCCCCCGACAAACTCCGCTTAACTGCGGATGCTGTGGCTCTTGGCTTCAGATCCTAAAACCACTCTACTGGAAAACCCCGAAAATCTGAGACCCTAAATGTTACAGCTCCTTCACAACCACAAGCATCTTTATGTCAAACATAGCCTTTTAAATGGCCAGGTGACCCACAGAAACCACTTAGGTATCTCGATTTCCACTGACTGTAAATCTTCAGTTACACTAAAATACACCCCAGTATGTACAAAAATTAAAGCAGACCTGGACAGTGGGAACAGAAAGCAATTTCCTTGGAGGGACCGAAATGCTGCTGTGCAACCGGATGTTCTCTCCTGCACTCTTTTCTCATTCCGGTCTCTCCCCATGTACTCCCCCCATGTACCCGCGTATGCTGCCAAGTGGCACAGACTTATTAATGATCAGAACCAACGGGTTGAAATTAAATCAGAAGAGTTTTTGGCTAAACATTAGGAAGAACTTCCTGACTGTTCGAGCGGCTCCTCAGTGGGACAGGCTTCCCCGGGAGGCGGTGGGCTCTCCTCCTTTGGAGGTTTTCAGACAGAGGCTAGATGGCCCCATCTGACAGCCATGCGGGTTCCGTGAACTGAGGCAGATCACGAGAAGGGAGGGCAGGGAGGGTTGCAGCCTCAGGGCTTAGTTCTCATGGCCCTTTCTTACACGCCCGGGGAAACGCTGATCGCCACGTTGGGGTCAGGAAGCCATTTTTCTCCAAGCCAGTTTGGCTGGGGAACCTGGAGCATTTTTGTCATCTTCTGGGCATGGAACAGGGGTCACAGGGTGTGTGTGTGGGGGGGGGAGGTACTTGTGACTGTCCTGCATTGTGCAGGGGGTTGAACTAGATGACCCTGGAGGTCCCTTCCGACGCTATGATTCCGTGACTGAAGACCAAGCACTCCTTTTAAAAGGGTATTTGCTGGGGAAGGGGTATAAGAAGCAAGTACGGACCACTTCTGCATGGAGAGGTCCATTCAAGGCATGTCACAAAATTAAGCCAATCACGGGTGACACAAACCCCCTCTTGACCCCAAACTCTTGCTTCTGAACTGCAGCAGGAAGAGCAGACTTTTCTTGTCCATCCAAGGAGCTTATCGGATTCCTGCTAAGTGCTGCCATATTTTGTGTGGCCCAACAGGGTAAGCCCCCGTGTTCCCCCTCCCTCAGTCTGGATGCCAGGAAATGGCTGTGGGGACGCATCCTACCCCTATAGCCTACCGTTTCACGGAGCCGAGACTTATTTTATTTAAATATTTATGCCCCACCTTCCGCATTCGTTCAAGTCTGAAGCCTTCCTACAATCTAGGCAGACTTCCTCCAGAGGAAGAAGAGGCATCGGCTTCAGAGGAAGACTACCTGGAGGGTGGTTGGATCCACCACATTACATACAAAGTCACGGACCAAGTAACGGCGGCCAGGGTTTTTGCGAAAGGCTGCCACAACCTTTTTGGAAAGACAGGTGCCCTTTATTGCTTATGCTGATAAAAACAAATACATCACGCAAAGGACAGAGTTATATTACAATGTATATCTGCTGCAATAACAGAGTCTAACTGAGAAGGAAACCTCCTCAGGAAACAATCCATATACAAAAGAACCTCCTCAGGAAAGCTCCTCCATTAGCATGTTTTCACAGCCCGGGGAACTCCTACAAGATAATGACTCAGCCCTACCCCACCTTCCTGAGTAGATATTAATTACCTGCCTACCATTTTGCTTCTCACCTTGACACCAAGAGTCCTCCCTCTTTCTGTGTTATACCCCTGAGGATGCCAGTCACAGCTGCTGGCGAAACGTCAGATCCTACAATACCAAAACCACGGCCACACAGCCCGGGAAATCTGCAACAGCTAATGAACTCCGGCCGTGAAAGCCTTTGATAACATATAGTGTTAGAAAAGACTTTACAAATGTTCCACCCAGCAGGGAAATGGTGTTTATTTTTTTAAATGCTTGTTAATTCAGCTTCTCGGGGCCTGCACTGGCCTGTGCTGATTGTGGGTAAGGGTTCCTTTAAGGTGCACACAGAATCTGTGCTTAACATTATAGGGGAAAGGCTCAGTGGCAGAGCCTCTGCCTGGCACTCAGGAGGTCCCAGGTTCAGTCCCCAGCAGCATCTCCAGTTAAAAAGGACCAGGCAGGAGGTGATGGGAAAGACCTCCACCTGAGACCCTGGAGAGCTGTAAAGAGGGGCTGTGGCCCAGTGGAAGAACCTCTGCTTGGCATGCAGAAGGTCCCAGGTTCAATCCCCGGCATCTCCAGTCAAAAAGGACCAGGTAGGAGATGATGGGAAAGACCTCCGCCTGAGACCCTGGAGAGCTGTAAAGAGGGGCCGTGGCTCAGTGGCAGAGCCCTGTTTGGAATGCAGGAGGTCCCAGGTTCAGTCCCCAGTGGCATCTCCAGTTAAAAAGGGCCAGGCAGGAGGTGACAGGAAAGGCCTTCCTCTGCCTGAGACCCTGGAGAGCGGCCTCCAGCCTGAGTAGGCAAGACTGACAGAAAGGTCTGACTCAGGAGAAGGGAGCTTCGTGTGAAATCCCCTCTGTAGCCTCCCCCTGGACTCAGGCGACCCCCTTTTTGTGGTACTCCTGCTAAGGATGGTTTCCCAGGCGACCTTATTTATGGTATCAATGTGTGGGCCTGTTTTCCTTTTCTGTGGGACGAGCCCTTTTTTGCAATAAAATCCCAGTTGAAAGAATACCGCACATTCCGCTGGGCAGGAGGGTGTCGGCCTGGCCGCTCTCCGGCAAATGCAGCTTCCCAAGGACAAGGCCGCTGTTGCTGAGGGTCCAGCCTGGCCTGGGCAGGAACGGGGCCTGGCCTCACCACAAGGGACAGCAGGAGGGAGCAGGCCGACCAGCCTTTGACTGCCCCAGTCCCACCGCCTGAACAGTAGTCTAGCCTAGCAGACAGAAGACAGTCACCTTTTCCAGGAACGCGTCCCGGACAAGAGAGTCACACCCTTTCTCTGCACAGCAGGCCTGCTAGAAACAAGCACACCAGTGGAGGACGGTTTGGGCACAGCCACACACTTTGTAGTCACAATACTAGCATGCTTTCGCTGCTCGCTTCCCCCCCCCCCAGAAGGCAACAGAACCACCTCCCACTTCTAGGGTCCCGGAAGAATTCCAGACCGTGAGCGTTTCTCACCCCTCAGTCAGTGCCGCGTCTCGCTCCCTCGGCTTCCACTTGGAGAGATGAAGCCCCCTGCGGCTCCCACATGTTCCTCTCTCTCGACATCTCCGCTTTTGCAAACGGCCGGGTCAGTATGTTGTTGATCTGCAAGACAAAGTGGAAAGGTCATTCTGGTTCTCCACAGTTGGCGTCCAGAGGCAGCACGGACAAGGCACTATGGGGGCATTCACTCCTGACTGACCACCCCCACCCCCCACCCCCATCTGTGCTTCTCATTGCTTTGCAGGCGAGCAACGACCACACCCTTCTAGATACAGGTCCAGGAATGAAGAAAGGCCACGCTCACTGCTCCACAGGCCTGTTCCCGGCCCTGATGGAGCCACAGTAGACTTACGGCGACCCTGGAGGGCTTTTAAGGCAAGAGGCCCCCGCCTGCCTCCCTGTCATGACCCTGGGGCTCCTGGGTGGTCTCCCACCCAAGGACCCTGCTTAGCGGCTTAGCTGGCAAGACCTGACCAGATCGGGATGGGATAGGCCACCCAGGCCAGGGCCACAGCGCGATAGTCGCCGTGGTAATCGCAGGGCAAACAGTCCAAGACACTCCCCGTCCCATGTGCCCCTGCATCACTTACAGGTCACTGTCTGTCGGTATAAAAATCTGCAACCTCTACCCATAAGATCACCAGAACAGCCCTGCTGGGATCAGACCCCTGAGGGTCCATCTAGTCCGCTACCCTGTTTCACACAGTGGCCAGCCAGCCTCCCCTGATGTTGCCTCCAGGCAGGGGTCATTTCCTGCAGGAGCGCACAGGAGCGGAGCTCCGGCAGTAAGGAGCCCAGGGGGCGGGCACATGCCACAAGCCCCACCCTCTGCTCCCAGCAGCCCTCAATCAGAGCAAGAAGCAGCCAGGTAAGCTGCAGAGCACACCCCCCCCGGGCCCCCGGGCCCAAACAGTCCAGTGGCACCTTTAAGACCAAGTTTTGCTCAGGCACAAGCTCTCCCTCCTCTGCGAGGACAGATCTGCACGTTCCACCCCCCCCCAATAGCTAGCCATCCAAAACAGTCCAGTGGAGCCTGAGCAGTGGGTGTCGCCTTCTGACACACTTATGGCGTTATGAAGACTCCCCTCTTCGGAAGACCTAACGGGGCTCTGCGCCACTATCGTTAACGCTTTATCGGTAGCTCAGATAATCGTGGCATTCCTTTGGTCTGGCCCCTTCAGTGCCGCGTTCACCCTGTCGTGGCTCTCCTGTGACGGGGGGGGGGGGACTTGACCTTGGCTGGGAAAATGATTCTTGCTCTTTCCTCCGCCCCCCCCCCCCCCACGGACGGTTGGTGCCGCTGCTGCTGAGAGATGGAACTGTGGGAAGAAGCCGCTTCTGGGCTCGAGAGGCGCTCGCGAGGGGAGCCTCCGCTCTGTCCAGCTCCTTCAGGGGCCTTCCTCCGGGCTCAGCGGCCAGGCGGCGGGAGGGACCTCCGAGGTGCAGCAAGGAGTGAAACGTGGAGACTAGTTAAATCCTGCGGCAGCCTCCTTCCGGAAGGGGTGGGGAGGTCTAAATTCCAGGTGGGTGGAAGACGGCAAGGTCACATTGTGGTTCTGCATATCCATGGTCATTTCGTGGGAAAAGAGGTGCAGGAGCTCATTAGCATAACTCATTTGCATATGCCACACCCCCTGGCTTCCCCAGGTTCCACCCCCGAACCTCCAGGAGATCCCCAGCCTGGAGCCGGCAACCCACTGGGAAGGCGAACTGCGACGGGGGGATTTTTTCTTTGATGTAGGGGTTTTGTGGAGGAAACCTTGGTGGAACACCCAGGGTGGTGGGGAGGGGGTGGGGTGGGTTGTTACACGAAGCCCACTGAAAGGCAAGAGCCATGGGGGCTGGAACATATCAGAGAGAAGCCCATGTTGGATCAGGCCAGTGGCCCATCCAGTCCAACACTCTTCTGTGTCACACAGTGGCCAGAAACACCAGCTGCCCTCAGGAGGTCCAGCAGTGGGGCCAGGACACCAGAAGCCCTCCCACTGTTGCCCCCTCCCAAGCACCAAGAATACAGAGCATCACTTGCCCCAGACCAAGAGTTCCTATCTAGCCCATGTGGCTAATAGCTGCTGCTGGACCCCTGCTCCATATGCTGATCCAATTCCCTCTTATAAGAACATAAGAAAAGCCAGTGTTGGATCAGGCCAAAGGCCCATCCAGTCCAACACTCTGTGTCACACGGTGGCCAGAAATGCCAGGTGCCACCAGGAGGTCCAGCAGTGGGGCCAGGAGGACACCAGAAGCACTCCCACTGTTGCCCCCCCCCCAAGCACCAAGAAGACAGAGCATCGCTTGCCCCAGACTGAGAGTCCCTATCTATACCTTGTGGCTAAGAGTGACTGATGGACCTCTGCTCCAGATGCTTATCCAGTTCCCTCTTGAAGCTGTCCAGGCTTGTAGCCGACACCACCACCTGTGGCAGTGAGCTCCATGTGTTCATCACTCTTTGGGTTGAAGAAGGACTTCCTTCCTTTTATCTGTTCTGACCCGACCGCTCAGCCATTCCGTGGAGGGCCCACAAGGAGTTCCTGTCTGGTGAGGAAGGGAGGAGCAAAGTCCCCGTGCCCGGCAGAGCTTGCCTGCCCCTTCTTGGGACGGCCTTGTGGAACAGGGCGGACTGAGGCCCCTGCCCAGAACATTTCTGTCAGATCTCTCTTCTCCCCAACCACAGCAGCCGCCTCTGACACAGCCACGGGAATATTCAGAGCCGCCTGGCCTCCACCCTCCTCCTCGCCACCGCCGATGATGGTCAGGAGCCCTCCTCCCTCACCTTCCGACCCCGATGGGAGGCTGCTGCGGGGAGAGAAGGGCCCCCCCCCCCACGCAGCCCCCATCTCCTCTGGCCCAGGGCCCCCCCCCCCGCACTACGGGCAACGTTCTGGCCGAGCCGCGAACTCCCCCCTCTGGGTGCATCCTCCTCCTCCTCCTCCTCCTCCTCCTCCTCCCCTGCGCGGGGGAGCCCATGTGGTCTTGGCCAGGGGTCTTCCCATCCGGGGCTCCAGAGACTCAGCCGCTGCTTCGACTGTCCCCGCTCAGGGCTATTCTTAGCATCTGAAACTGGGGAGTGGAAAGGAGCCAGGGCTTTTGCAGTACAAAGGCCTGCCTGTGCGAGGAGGAAATGGAAAACAGCCTCCAAAAGCTTGAAGTTAAGGAGGACGGGGGAGAGGTTTGGGCAAGGGTGAGGGAGCAGAGGAGCTGGGGGGGGGGAGAGAAACAGATGAGACACACAACAAGGGGGAAAGGAGGGAGGCGGCGGCCGGAGGAGAAAAACACGTCCAGCAGAGGGACGAGGGATGTGGAGCGGCCGCCACGCCCCGCAGGGAGCCAGCATCCCAGCCAGGAGCCTCACTCCTCCGGTGCGCCTGTGAGTCACTCCCGGGCCGCCCCCTCCCCTCCCCTCCCCTCCCCTGCAAGCGGGCCGAGGACCGACCGACCGACCGACCCGCCTGGGAAGGGTGGGGATGCTGCAGGCTGAGCTGGACTCCGGCCTGGTGAAAACTCAGGGGTCCCAGGAGAGTCAAGCCACTCACGTCATGAGTGGAACGTCACGGAACTGCCGGAGAGTTAGCCCACTCCAAACTGGACCTGAATACACATTGCCCCACAGGGGTCTGGTTAAAAAAAATCCCCTCTGTTAAATGTTAGTCAGCGGGCAATTTCTGCATGAATTTAGGATTAATTCACCCATATTGCTTTCCCTCAGCCCTCAGACCTCTGCACGGTCACTTTTAGGACAGGTTTGCCCGTTCTGGCCACAACGCAGGACGTAAAAGCACATCTCCTGGTGCCGCTGGGCCTCTGCCCCGGGCCATATAAATGCCCACACCCAAGGAAACCGATTCACGTAAAAGGACGGTTTCGCTTTAGTAGACCACTTGAAGAGTGGGGGGGGGGGGACCCAGACTTGGAAATAGACAGAAAAGTCTGTAGTGTTGCTAAGAGTGTCTTTTCAATTATATCTCGCTTATAACATCTGGCCTCTTACTTAGATGCTACTGGCCTAGACACACCGATCCAGGCGGCCCTAACTTCCAGACTGGACAACTGGAATGCGCTGGACTGGACTGGACCAGACTGGACAAATGTGATCCGTGGGGCTGCCTTTGAAGGTGTCTTGGAAGCTGCAAACAGTCCAAAATGGAGCAGCAAGACTCCTGCCTGGGGCAGCCCCTCTGGGAACAGAATTCCAGCGTTGTGCTTAACTGCACACGTCACCTGCTTGCTCCCAGGCCCAATTCAAAGTGCTGGCTTTTCACCTTTAAAGCCCTCCATGGTCCTCATACTTCACAAGCCACCTCTCCCAATGCACAAGTTATAATCCCATGTGCAAGTTATGCTCTTCAGAAAAAGAAATAGATTGCCTTAAAGTGTTTCGAGTTGGAACCTTCTTCAGCAGTGTGTTTGGCACAGCAAGAAGCCAGAAGGCCCGTCAACACCAGCAGCACCCTTGCTCAGTTTAGAAAGGCACAGAAACTTGCAGTCCCCTGGGCGCGGAAATGCCTCAAGGGTACTCCCGGTTCCCTTTGTCCAGCTCCTTAGAACTATCCTCCGTGGAAAATGCATAACTGGAGCGTGGCCTTTTACAGCCATAAAACTAACCGTATACCCCCATTCCTTGGCCTACAAAAACACATCCAATTGAATCCCACAAAGAAATGTTGAAACTTTCACAACACCCACATTTGGCCCAAAGAATTGCTTCGGTCTTCTTTTTACCACTCGTTGCATAAGTTTTTTCCACCCTACTGGTACACGGCGCTGCCTGCCTGAGCCACAAGGCAGTCGGAACCCTGGCCCCCGCTGCTCATGCTTAACTGTAATGTTCTTTGGATCAAGCCCGACCGAGTGAGCGTGGGGGAGGAGGGAAATTTTATTCACCCTCTCAGACACACACACACACACACCCTGGAGTTGAGGCTCAGTTTGGCCAAGGGATCTTGGTCAGCTGTATCTCCCACGGCCCTTTCCTCAGAGCAGAGCAACCGATGACTTTAGTTTATACAGAACCCCCAAAACAACATAAGCAGGAGAGCCAGCCACAGCTGCCCCGTGCCAGTCCAGAGGGAAGGGTTCTTGTTGTTCAGTTGCACCATTGAGTC